GAGCCGGTGTTGGAGATGCCGTAAGAGCAACTCCAACGGGCCGACCCAAACGGACGGCGATTTCATCCGCTTTTTGTCCGTTTGGGTCGGGCGATCGCCCGGCGTCCGCCCTCTTTTAGATTTGGGTCGGCAGCATGCCCAACGCGCCGGCCCATATGTGCCGGCATGGCCGGTTGGCCGCCCAATATTACGTTGATTTGCATTCCAAACATATTGTCAAATAACATGGTTTACCGAATAAAATATTATAATTTTACAAGCCGGATACAAATAAAAATGTTTCACATAGTTTTGCAAACGAATAAGAGAAGATACACCTATTGGTTACCAACATGAGCCCACATATGCTCAACCAAATTATTTTGCAGTTGCACGTGAGTTTCCCAATCACGCATGTCTTCATGAAATTGGATGAACTGTTCAAATGTTGCCGCTACTCCATGCTCAGGCACAACATTCTCACCATGAAACTGAAACCCTTGATCGTACAGACGTTTCGGGCGCTCGTCTTCTACGATCATATTGTGCATGATTACACAAGCAGTCATCACCTTCCATAGTTTCTGCATGCTCCAGGTATTAGCAGGATACCGAACGATGCCCCATCGAGATTGCAAAACACCAAAGGAACGCTCAACATACTTCCTAGCACTCTCTTGCTCTTGAGAAAATCTTTTCCTCTTCTCTCCTATAGGGTCGGGTATTGTCTTGACAATAGTGGTCCACTGAGGATAGATACCGTCACCCAGGTAGTATCCTTTGTCGTAGTTGTGTCCGTTGACAGTAAAGTTCACCGGTGGGCTGTTGCCTTCGGCAAGCCTAGCAAACACCGGCGAGCGCTGAAGTACGTTGATATCATTGTGTGATACAGCCATGCCAAAGAAAGAGTGTCAGATCCAGAGATCTTGAGATGCCACGGCCTCTAATATGACAGTGCAAGCCCAGACATGTCCCTTATACTGCCCTTGCCAAGTAGAAGGACAGTTCTTCCACTCCCAGTGCATGCAGTCTATGCTGCCAAGCATCCCTGGGAAGCCCCTTCTGGCATTCATCGCTAACAAACAGGTTGTTTCTTCAGCTGTTGGCTCTCTCAAGTACTCAGGACCAAAGACAGCAATAACAGCCTTGCAGAACTTATACAGGGACTCTAGGCATGTAGACTCACTCATACGGACGTACTCATCAATAAGATCACCGGGCACTCCGTATGCAAGCATTCGGATGGCGGCGGTGCATTTCTGATAAGAGGAGAAACCGATCTTGTCGAGGGCATCCTCTTTGCACTCGAAATAGTCATCATAGCCGACCGCTCCCACTCTAATACGGTTGAAAAGATGCCTACTCATACGGAAAGAACGGCGGAATTTTTGATGTTTTAACAACGGGTTTGTTGTATCAAAGTAGTCCTTCCAAAGAAGGAAATGCCTGCTCTCTCGGTTCCAATTCAACGCCGGAAGGTGGCCCGGAATGGAGCCACGGAACAATGGCCGCTGGCTATTGAGGTGGTGATGGACCAACACGGCAGCCAATATCTCCTCCTCGTCATCGGACGACGAATCGTCGGAGTAGCAAAAGAAATTGTGGAAAAAGAACTCGTCGGCGGAGTCCATTTCCGTACCTTGGCAACAGTTTGCGGGCGTCGAAGAAGGAGACGGCCGGCGAGGGAAGTCGCGGCGCGCACGAACCAGCTAGCTGCCTTGCCGACGTCCGACGAGTGGGCCGGCGTCCGACGAGCGTGATCGGGGCGGCGAGGCGGCCTCTTGGTCGCGGGGCGGCTGTGCGGTGGGCGGAGCGGCAGTGGGAAGCAGTTTGCTCCCGGCGGCAATACGGCGATGGCGGGCGACGGGGGGAGTGAGCGGCGTTGCTGGGCGGATGTGGAGGCGGCGGCAGCTGGCAGAGTCGCCGGCAAAAAGGGCGACGGCATCGGCGATGAAGGAGGCGTGCGAGGGTTGCTGTTTGGCTGGGGGTGAGGGGGAGGCCAATGAGCCACCGACCAGCGGGCCCGGGGAGAGGAGAAGGCGAGCCTGCGCTTGTCCGTCGTGTGTCCGCGCCGACGCAAATCCGGCTCAAAAATGGGCCCGGAATGGGTCGCCCGGGACGAAAAGCGGACGCGCGTCTGTTTGGGTCGACGCGTTGGGTCGACTTTTCTGTCTACACTAACCCAAACAGACAACGGCGGACGAAATGGGTCGCCCCATTAAAGTGCTCTAATGCTCCAAAATCTATTTCATCCGTGCAATTGTAGCCGCCAGATTGCATCCTTATCATTGCTAGCTTCCCGCACACGGATCCCAAGGTGATATGCCCTCTTTGAGAGCATTTTTATTAAGCATCCGGTTGATGGATTTTATAAAATATTGGAGACCTTTGAGCACTAGAGCAGTAGTGGGATTCTTTTTCTTCAAAGAGTAGTAGTAGTGGGATTAGATGTTGGTGCTAGCTTTCCGCTTAGCTTTTGAGCCGTCGTTCTCACGTCCGAGTTAGAAAGGAACACTGAAAGCCTAAAAGAATGAAGGCGCGCATGCACTTTTTTCCCCACCCTTTGCCATCTCGCCTTCTTTTTCTTCCTTTGCTACTATCATATACGCCCTTGCCACTCAACACCCCCTCCTCTCTCTGGGCCTAGCTTGGACGCAGCATCCTTTTGCTTGTGCAATCGAGGGTGTCAGCCAGGTACTCCCTCCGTTCCGAATTACTTGTCTCACGTATGGACGTATTTAGATGTATTTTAGTTCTAGATACATCCATTTCAGCGACGAGTAATTTGAAACGAAGGAAGTAGCTAGCTAGCGCAATTTTCCTTTCCTCCTCTCTGTTTCCTTTGTCTGGGATTGATTAAATCTTTGATCTAGAGCGTCTTGGAACCGATTTAGTCGAGGTTAGGTTGAGAAGCTAGTGCTGATGGCAACTTCATGTGCGTGTTTCTGCTCCGTGCACGCAAAGATGCTTTTATCCCAGACGCCGATAAGTCCTAAACGTTCGGGATTTGACCATGCAACCCGAACGTTTTTTGTGGCAATTTATGTTTGTAGATCATGGCAAATTTAGTCAACAAGAATGTCAAAATCGCCTTCAGTTTACTTTTACCAGAAAATTGCCGTGCTTGTAAACAAAAGTTGATATCTCACGCCAACTAAAGTTATCATAAAATACGTTCGGATTGCCATGGTCAAAATCCGAACATTCAGGATTTATCATTTCTGTTGATCTCTCTCTTCCCATTAATTGCTCAATGGAAATAACAAGCGCAGTTTGCCTAATCGCTTTAATCTGGCTTTGTGGGTTTCTTTTTTATGCGCACGTCAACTAATAAAAGCTATAGACTAGAGAGTTTTAGTTAAGTAATTTTGATTTGGATTTTCGGGACTCATTATGGAATCTGATAACACCTAACATCAGGTACAAGCACATGCCAAATCAAAAAAAATCGATGGCAAGTTTTGTGAAGCGAGGATGACAACTTTAGTTGGCAAGCATGACAACTTCGTGCTTCAGTTTATTTTTTAACATAAAATTGTCATGTGTGTCAACTAACTTGCCACCCTTGCATCATTGGAGTTGCCATCGAATATGTTAGATTTGTGATGTCCTCGTACCTGACGTCGGGTATTTATCATTTCCGTTTCATTTATGGTGATAAATCTGTTTTGTAATCACGGTCAGGGGTGTGGTTAGCCGTGTGGGTAGCTAGTCATGCTAGGACCCTCCTTCACGTACAGCGATAGGTCCAGATTGTCAGGTCGCTAATAAACCGATAGGACTAGTATACAGATTCTTTTTCGCAGACAAAAGACATGTTCATCCACATCCCTAAGACTTTAGCATCCCAAGCCGCCCAAATCCGACTTCGACGAGGTTGGGTACTTGGGCGCTCCGGATAGACAAGTTTGGGCGGGCTTGACCATTAGACCAGGGACCAGATCTCAGTTAGCATTTGGAGGCACTGTCACAGCGAAGGACGACAATCCAATTAAATGAGATTTTATTCTTGAAACTTTTTGCTATCGATTTTATGTGTGACGGGGTATCGTTATTCTTAAAAGTTGTTTATAGACCTTCAACGTAAAGCATTCACTCATTTTTACAAAAAGCAAAGGGCACCAAGCCGTTGGTCTCTGGAAGAAAGTACTCTCTGTTGTACGCCTGCACCGCTATTCCTAAACAAGGAGTATAGGTGTCACAGATCAACCTTGTCGTCAGTTGTTTGCCCACCATGTATGAAACCCAACGAGGAAAAAAAGCTCATGAGATTGTGGACTTGTTGCTTTCAGACCAATTAATATGGTGGTCATTTGTTGTTCTTTAGTGATGCTTCTGAGTTTGTGTGATTTCTAGAATAGCGATATTTTGGAGAGTTTTCACCATCATAGTCGCAAATTGCAGTTGGTTGTGATTTGATCCTGAACTCTTTAACAAACCAACTCCAAGAAGTTTATAGGTTTATAATTTTTTGTAATTACAAACAATTTTGTAATTTTTTGTGCTTCAAGTGCCAAAGATGCACTTCGACAATGTAAATTCATATGTTTGAATTTTCATATCCTGTCATCCACGAATAAATACTCATCTAAGTGCTTTCATTTTAGTTAAACGTGAATGCTCTCTTCAGTTTGTAGATTAAAGTATGCAATGGAGCATCTATTTCCTCGCAAAAAAAAAATGGAGCATCTATTTTACACGCAAACAACAACAATTTAAAATTTCTTGAATATTGACGCTTGCAGTCTTGATTGTGCTTGAATATTCGTTCTTCTTCTGACCTTCTCGCCTCTCGGAGTTACCATTTTCCTCTGAGTGTTACAGTCTACTATATCTGAAGAACCATCTTTGCATCTTCTTTAATCTTCCAAAATCACTTGCTGCAGCTCCTGTTTGTACTTCCTGGACAACTACATACAGTACAGGGCTAAAATCTCCAGCAGGTGCACATTTCCTCACTACCAATTTCTCCAGCCCTGTCGTCCTCAAGCAAACTAATATTTTTCATGCTCTAGTTCCGAATGCGGGATGAAATTGTGCTGGAGCGTATACTTAAGGGAGACGAGGAACCCAAGGATCTGCCATTAGCACTCTTACAGGACATCACCAATGATTTCTCTCAACAGAACAAAATTGGTCAGGGTGGATTTGGAGAGGTTTACAAGGTACATTTTACCATTTACAAAATACTTAAATGATCTCGAGTCCACTGAAGCATCACTAGTTCGATTAAAAAGCAATACTTTTGGTACTGAAGCATCACTAGTTCGATTAAATGATGACCAGCTCTTTCTTCTCCTCCTCCTCTGGCGCTCCCGCGGGCGACAGGGGAGGAACCCTAGCCGCCGGCCCTTCTCCACCTCTCTTCTCCTCCTCCTCCTCCCGCCGCCGCCAAAGGGCGCGCCCGGGCGAAGCCCAGCCGGCGCCGGCGGCGGCGGGGCGTCTTCATCGCCTCGTTCGGGAGGGCTGGCGCGGGCCGGCCGACCTGGATCTGGCCACGGAGTTCTCGCGGGGCGCCGCGGCGCGGCCCCTCATCGGCGCAGGATGGCGCGCGGGTGTGCGGGTGGCGTGATGGTCTGCTCCTCGGTGGTGCTCGGCTGGTGTGGAGACGGCGGCGGCTCGATCCAGATCCGGTTGGGGCGGGCTGCGGGCGGTGCGGGCTGTGGGCGGCTTCCTCCGCCGTGGCTGGCGGAGGGGTCGGTGCAGCAGTGGCGGCCTCGGCCTTCCCCTCCTCTTCTTCCTCCGGGGGGAGGTGGTGGGATGGGCTGGGGGTCGGGGATGGCGGCCGGCGCCCAGCCAAAGCTGACCTCGCGGCGACGCGGGCCGCGTTCGGCAACGCTTTGGGGTCGGCCGACGGCGGGTATTGCCCCTCTCCCTTCCGTGCATCCCTTCCCAGTCCCCGGGTTGGTTTGGATCTTGCCGGATCCACCTCCGGTGTGTTCTGGTGGAGCAGATCGGTGTCCGGGGGAAACCTTGGCAGCCTTAGGCTGACTGGCAGCGGCGACGCCGATTTTTGGCGCCGCTTTCCTCCTTGGGGGCGTTGCTGAGGGCACCATCTCTCCTCTCCAACCCATGTCCGGGTGAAAGCCCAAGATCCGATGCGGATCGGGCGTCGGCGGCGCCTTAGGCACCGTAACCTTTCTGGAGGCGACGCCAAGGACATTGGGATCGGATGGAAGGGTCTGCAGGTGAGGGGTGGGGGTGTGCTGCCTCCCTTCGGTGGAGCGGTGTTTCATTCTACATATTCTTGGCGGCGGCTCTTGGCGGCATGGAGCAGCGGAGGCTGGGCGTCAGATGTGTGGTGACGGACACGCGCAGGAGGTCGACGCTGTCTGGCGTTGTGGTGGCGTCGGCGGCAGCGAGACCAGGCAAGGCTGTTACAACAGTACAACTCTGAAGATGGATATGTGGTAGGTGGTTGTGGCGGCCTCATACCCGGCGGACGGCCTGGTTGAGGAGCACGCCGGACTGGTGGGTGCCCATACCCGGCAGGCGTCCAGGTTGGGACCTCAGGTCTTAGATGTTAGGTTTGGCTGCGAGGTCTGTTTGGTATTAGGCCCAGACCATCAGCGCCCCTTCATCAGTTAGATAGGAGTAGCGACAGAGGTTGCGAAGATGGTGGCTTTGGTCTTACTGTTGTACGACTTTGTAAGGTTTTGTGCTAATAATTAATAAAGTGGCCGTATGCATCGACCAGATGCAGAGGCCGGGGGTATTCCTCCTTTTCGAAAAAAAACTGTAAGGCTGAGTAGTATCACTTACATACTTCCCTACAGGGTGTACTCCGGAACGGGGTTGTTGTTGCTGTGAAGAGGATCCATATAAATGTAGACACAATTGATGACAAGCTGTTTCACCGTGAGTTTCATAGCCTCTGGAAGACTACTAATCATCAAAATGTAGTCCGGTTTCTTGGCTTCTGTTCTAATAACCAGACAACAATAGTCAATGCTGGGTCCGAACAAATTAAATTGGCCAATGTAAGAGAAAGATTGCTTTGTTTCGAGTACATCAGCAATGGAAGCCTTGATAAGCATATTACCAGTATGATCTTATTGCATTTGATGCAGCTCTTCTCTTCTTTGCCATATTTCCTTCACTAGTGCTTAGTTTTCAAGTCATGAGCACAAGTTAGGGATAGACTTAAACTAAAAATCTTCTATCGTTGCTTAGTATGTAGTTTAACATAACTCCTCACTTTTTATGTATTTATTCTGGTACAGATGAATTAAGGGGACTTGAAAGGGAAACACGCTATGATATAATCACCGGAATTTGCAAGGGTCTGTCTCATCTCAAGGAAAAAAGAATTATTCATATGGACCTTAAACCGGCAAACATATTACTAAATGATCATATGGTTCCAAAAATTACAGATTTTGGTTTGTCAAGACCAAATGAAAACTCACATACTATGGGTCAACGTTTTGGAACACGGTAAGATATGCATCTAAAGAACCACTTGTTGATTGACATCATTCTACCTTACAACCCTACATTTACTTTTTCTCATAGTGCATCACACTATCATATTTTCTTGCAGAGGATATCTCGCGCCGGAGTACGAGAATGCTGGCAGAACTTTGTTTGAGTCTGACATATATAGTTTGGGCGCCATAATCATTGAATTAGTAACAGGGTGTATGGGCGTCCCTGACGAAAATAATGTAAGTAAGATGTTTTGCACCAATCTTTTAATTGTTTGCACTGTAATATGCATACAATGCTACTGAATGGCATATCTAATTTAAACACTTTTCTGGATATATATCACACAAGGTTGGATAATATTTTTATGGTGTGTTCTTGTGAAGTGATGCACTTTCGTTGATACACACACTGCACTGCTAACATCTGGCTTTGTAACTAAAAAATTGTCAGCTGGATACACTCATACACACACCATTACATTGACATAGTTTGCACTGTAAAATTCTAAGATTACCACAAATAATTAACATCTATGAAATGTAGGTACTTCGAAGGTGGAGACACAGGTGGAATAAGCCACCGACGTTACTACAATACCAGCAAGTAATTAGATGTATCAACATAGCAATACGCTGCAGAGAACAAAAACCGGAAGCTAGACCTTCAATATTGGAGATAATTAGCTTTCTGAGTAAATCTGAAACTATAGATGTGCACACTGGCCAGGTAAGAGCATTACTAGTAGAACCCTCAAACCCTCAAAGCCTTATAGCAGTTTTAAGGGTTGAGAAGTGCCAGTTTTTGACACTTTTAAGGGTTGAAAAACAGGGGCAAAGACTAGAACCCTCAAACCCAACCCGTAAACTGCTTTAAGGGTTGGATTTGAGGGTTCTAGTCTTTGCCTCAACCCCAACCTTTAAAACTGTCATTTCATATATCACACATTTCATCACATTTCATCATATGACATATCACAAATTCCTGAAAATTGGCTAAGTCTTAGAGTTGTTCCGTTTTTTTTTAAACTTCACTTGGTTGTTTTCCGAAGGCTATAACTAATGTTATGTATTTCTAATGAAGACACTACATATAAGTGTTTTACTCTACACCAACAGTACTACAAGGCCATGCCACTAGATGGCATGAACAGCTCCTGCAACAGGTCCATTTACAGCTCTGAAGTAGTGAAGACAGTAAATTTGTTTTTCAGTTTCCTCTCTTAACAGAACATAGACTTTTGTCATTTTTATAGGAATTAAACCATGCCGTATTTGAATTTGGTCCAATGGAAAAATTTGGAGGTTGTCATGTGTACTCCCCATACAAATTAATTTCAACGAAGTTAGACTTTGTTTGACCATAGTTTTGTTGCCATCCAGAGAGCTAAGAAGGTAGAAATAGCAAAAGCTAGCCAGCGCTACAGTAACATTCAGTTACTGTAGCAGCGGCAGCAGAGTAGCGAAACGCAGCGGCAGGAACGGCCGCAAGCGCGGGCACGAGTGGCCGAGCGCGTGTGCGGACGGGCAAGGGAGGCCACGGCGATCGGGCACAGCGGCTAGCAGCGCACGGCATAGGGACGAGGACGTGCAGGGGCGTGGCCATGAGCGCGAGGGGAGGGGCGGACAGGCAAAAGCGAGCGAGGCGAGGGACAGCAGCCGTAATGGGCGAGGGAGGGGCAGGGCGGGAGCCGCGGCCGGCGGGAGGGCAGGGCAGGAGGG